CGCCCGCCCTCCTCCCCGCCCCTCCTCCGGCCGCCGGGAGCTGCGGGACGGACGAGCCGCCGCCGCCGCCTCTGCGCCCATGTATGAAGGGAAGAAGACGAAGAACATGTTTCTGACCCGGGCCCTGGAGAAGATTTTGGCCGACAAGGAAGTGAAGAAGGCGCATCACTCCCAGCTGCGCAAAGCTTGCGAGGTGGCGTTAGGTGAGCGGGCGGAGGCCGGGGTGGGGGCGCCCGCGGGCGGTGGGGCGCCGGGGTTTGTCCCGGGCCCGCCGGCGCTGTCTGCTGCCCGCCCGGAGTTGACAGTAACTCGGCGGGCGCGGGGGGGTGGAGGAGGAAGGGCGGCCCGCTGGGCTCCAGGACGCGGCAGGGCTTAGGACGGCCGGGCACCGGAGTGCGAGGGCTCAGCGGGACACCGAGGATCTTGTCGGTGGGCCGTGCGGTGCGGACGGGATACCACCCTTTGTGATGAGGCGGAAGATAAGCCGGTGTTTATTAGCTTGGAAATGGAGGTGGGGCGATATGTCAAGATTGGGCGTGGGAAGCGTTCCGTGTTGTAATTACAATAACTTTATCGGTTGGTGCGATACTTTGGGAAGAGAGGCTGAAGTTCCCTTGTTGACAGTCTCCAGAAGGGGTTTGCGGGAGGTGCAGTCCGCTCTGACATCCTTCCGCCTCTGCCACAGGAAAAACAGTAATGTGTGGCCGACTGGACTGACCTGGAAGAGCAAGAGCAGAGAGAGGTTAAGAGAGGGGGTGGCGGTGTGAAAACGGGAAGGAAAGACACCTTCAGATAAATTGGTTTTAGGTAATGTGCAAAAGGAGTGTTTGAGATGAGGAAAATGAAAAAGACAGAGACACCCACTAACCACATGTCTGGACAGTGACAGCTGCTCTCGGGGCTTCAATTGTGATTTACGGTTCAGAGGGAAGAGAGCTAGGGTAATGAAGCCCGAAGCGGGGAAAATCCCAACAATACCTATAGCCAGCATAGGCAGATAAGATACTGTTAAAGGGGGAACACTGACTGATATTTTGCATCAATCGAAGGAGCAGCCAGGATATTTAACACAAAGCTATATTCCTGATGTTTATATTTTATTTTATGCTACTGGATATAGATTAAGTCAAATGGGAAAGAAATGAAGCTTGTTAAATGGGCTTTGGGGGAAAAAGCTCTTGAAGGTGCAAAGAAAAGCCCGTAATAATTTAAATGTATGCTTAAGTACGGGCTCAATGCAGATTAAAAGCAACTTTGTTTTTAATTATTAAACAGAATATTATCATTTAACTTATAATATGCTATATAGTTTTTTCTGGGTTCTTAAAATTGGTGATATGAAAAACATTGAAGAAAGTTCAGCTTAAAAATGTTAGAATTTGTAGTATAGTGGGCTTTAGGTTTTTGGTTTTTTTTTTGCCTCCCTCATTGATCAGAAGTTCCCATTTTATTTGTGTACCTAACAGAAGACTGTTCCAGATATGTGAGAAGACAGTTCTGTAGGGTGAGAAATTTAATTTATACCCGGGTCCTGATAGGAATAATTTTTGGAGTAACATGAGACAGGGAGTGATATTAGGATTTTTAAAAGAATTGTTACATATTGGTCTATGAATAATTTGGTAATATAAAGAACATAAGGAGATTCAAGTGCAAGTTTTAGTTCTGAGAACTGAGATTTTCCATGTTAAAATATATTTTAATATTATTTCTAAATAGCTAAAGAAATACGTTTATATCTACTCATATATAATAGAGTAGTTTACATCTACTTATATATATTTAGTATAGTTTACATCTACTTATATGTATTTTCTCTTCTCCAAAATACTAACATAAACAAACATGTTTTAATGGACATAGCTCATGGGAATGAAAGTCTGGGATCCCAGTTCTGTTACCTAGCAGTATTAGGCAAGTCCCTGGGCCTTAAGTCCCTTTTCAGTAAAACTAGAATCTTAAATTTAATGATTGCTTGGCTACCTGCATCCCCTCTAATGTGCTATGAATATGAATATACTTTTGTGTTAACTTGTGCATTTAGTGTTTCTGCCACCCTTGCTTGGCGTCTTTGGAGGGCCTATAGCTCTTTAAATGGGTCCCTGTCATTTCTAGATGTAAAAATTATACGGTGTTGTGTGTGCCCGCTGTACCAGGGTGTTCTATTCTACTTTTTTTGACCCTTCCATATAGTTAGCAGAAGCTTGTTTTGTGGACTGTGCCTACTCATGCAGGGACTAGGCTTCAGGGTACTTTCTGTACTTAAAATACATAAGGTATTTTCTCCATATTTCATAAAAGTTTCATTTAAAATTACTATAAAGTAAATTTTCAGTGTGTAATCTCATGGTAGTGAATCCCTGATGAACTTTTTCCTTTCCAGTCATCCATCAACATTATCACTCAAGCATAGGTCAGTGGGATAACCCGTTTCATCTTTGCAGAAAGTTTAATATCTTGCAGTAAGTTGAAATCCCCAAATACGTGTTGTCCCTGGAAACTCTTACAGCTATTTCTTTTCTTCTTTACTTTTGAGACCTGTGCCAGGCCTCCTGTGGTTTCTTGATAATGTGTGATGGGAAAGCAAACAGGAATGGACTGGTTTGGTCATCTTTGGTGTATAGATTGAGAGCATGTTGAGATTGGATGGTGGAGGCACAGGGCTCATTTTATGGCCATTATTATCTTTCTTCTTCATTTTTTTTTTATTTGGTAGTACTGGATATTCAACACAGGGCCTTTTTTACATGTGTGGCAAACATTCAACCCCTTGTTACATCCCCCGCTTTTTGTTTTTTTTTAAATCTCTATTTTGAGACAGGGTCTAAGTTGCTCAGACTAGCCTTAAGTTTGTAATCCTTCTGGCTCTGCCTACTCAGTACCAGGTATTACAGATATGGGCCACCATGCCTGGTTTTGTTACAACCCTTATAAATATGCTTGGCTGTGTTCTCTCTCCCCTCACATATTTGTTTAATACTAACATGGAGATGAAGAGAGATGGACAGCAAACAAAAAAATATGTGGTATACCAGACTTTTAGCTCTTTTTTGGTGTTTGAAAATCACCTTATTGCCATATGATTGCTGGTATTCAGTTAAATTAAACTATTAGGCCAATTAAAACTGAGTTTTCTGTAAATATTTCTGAAATTATACTTTGCATGTGTTCATAAGAACATTCTTTTGGCCTAAAAGTATAACTTTTAGAAAATATGTAGAAATTTTTATTAAAACAGAACCCCTTTTTAAAGACACTACATAAAGTAACTTTTATTTTCATGAAAGGAAAATAAACCTTTAAAAGGTATGCAGAATAATTTAAGGCTTACTTCAAATTTTCCAACTTGTCAGATTTTATTTTGAAGAATAGCTGTAAAAACAAACAAACAAAAAAAAAACCCAAAAAAAAGACACCCCTTTCATTGTTAAAGTTGATGTGAAGCCCTCAGGTTCTGAACAACTCTTGGTTGCCCTCACTTGGTACCTGCCTTCTCAGTTTTCTGCTATGAACTTTGAGCTCTGCAAAGTAAGGGTGTCAAGGCTGCCCTAGCTTAGTCTGATCCACTCCTGCTCTGGAGAATCCTGAATTAAAAATAGTCTGACCATCTGCTGGCAGATGAAACAAGTGAACTATTTTTAGTTTCAAAGAATTTAGGATTGTTGTGGGATTGGGTTGGAAGGTAGCATTGTTTATCTTTTAAGGAGGGTGCAGTTCAGACATCCCAGACAGTTCTTTTCTAAGTTTCAGGAGTTTCTTTGATGTTAGTGCTATGACTAGTTCAACTTCTGCTCCCTGACCTTGGATATCTATGAAGATGTTCTGTAAAATGTTAGAAAGAATACAAGGTTGGAAATTGGCACTGATATGAAAAAAGATTGCAAAGGTTTAGAAGGTGGTTTTAAAAAGGAAGGGAAGTAGCCTAGAGTGGTAGCACAGGCCCGTAATCCTAGCACTGACTGAGGCAGGATCGCTTTGAGTTTGAGTGAGTTCAAGCCCAGCCTGGAGATAAGGACTTTCTCAAAAAACCAAAAATAAATATGTAAATAAATAGGAAGAGGGTCATGTATAGAAGTAGCAGTAAGTTGAGGAGGGTTCCCACTAAGGATATAGCAGAATGATGAAAATAATCATTAGGGGAGTAATTTTTGCCTCTCTGAAAGGGTATAAATTTGTGTTGTGTATCATATTATAAAGAGCTCCTACTGACCTAGTTTCCTTACAGTGTGAGTCTGTTACCTATAATTATAGTTTCCCCTTGAAATGTAAATACAGTTTTGACACTCAAACTTTATAGAACTTTTTTCTTTCTGCCTCACTGATTCCATTCTTTTTTAGCCCCATTCTTATTTTGGAGGTGTTGTTATAAAAAGGGGATATATGAATGGAGGGAAAATTAAGTGCTTTGGCCCC